CACAATCTGCTTTCAAATGTCGTGAAGTTGCCGTGAGCCCCGGGTGGAACAATGGGTGATGCCAACGTGATGGTGTTTCATAGCTGTCTACCTAAGTGCTTCTTAGTTTCCATGTCACCGAGTTTGTGTGTCATAGTTTGGAGCCAAACGTTTTTTATGCATGCCGCTCACCGACATTCTCCTAGGTCCTGGGCATTCTGCCTGTACTGCCCAATGGAGAAAAGGGCTCTGGGCGCCACAGCGGAGTGCAAGGTGCTAATGAAATGAAGCAAAGGGGCTGGATGGTTTCTAGATCACTCGATGAGCACTTTTCCACCCTGCGCGAAAACTCTTACAAGACCAAAGCGAGAGCAGCACGCTCAGGGGGCGCAGTGTGCCTCTAACAACAGAGTCCGAGATCTGGGATGCTGAGGTTCAAAATAAACTCAGAGAAAGGAAAGCAAAGGCAGGTAAACGAACTAAAGTGTTCCAGCCACTGTTACACGAAGCCTGAGGTACTGGCAGTTCAGTGGTACAATTCTCCCTCCTCCTGCAGGAGACCCAGGTCCGATCTCCACACAGTCCCTTACACACGGACCCCAACCATCTGCGCGAGGAGACCTGTAAGTACCTGCACAGATTCCAGTGGCCCTTCCAGACCAAATGGACTAGGAAGAAAGGCCTGGCAAGCTCCTTCCAAAAATCAGCTAGTGAAACCCCATGGATCACATGGTTCCAATCTGCAAGTGATCACAGGGCAGGCAGGACTGGACATAGCTGCACCACAAATTAGGGACCATCTCAATGGCAGCTAACAACCACAATAACATTGTGTTCAGCCCTGTGCCAGGTAGCGCTATAGATAGCATTTCATTTCACTCCTTTAATGAGTCTCATTTCCCAGCTGAAGAGAAGTCAATTGTGGAGGGTGACCCCGCTTTAAAGAAACAGACCTAAGAGTCTGCCTAGCCCGGCAGCACATGCTCCTGTCAGTCTCCGTGCAGTCTTCTTGTTCCACACGGGGTGGGCATGAAGGGACTGTCGGCTTTTCTCTCCCTGCTGAGGAATCAGTGATAGATGGACATTAACATGGAGGCAGGGGAGTGGGTGCAGGTGGGAGTTTCCCTGAAGCAGAGCTGCAGTGATAGAAGGCAGGATTCTCGCCCCCTCCCCACCCACCCCCACCTCCACCCAATGATTCATCAGAAGAAACACCGTGGTGGATGATACATCTGAAGCCCATGGTCTACAGCTCCACAGAGGGAATTTGTCACGATGGAAAGTCCCAGATCACAATCAGATCGGAGCGCATCTCCACCCTCTTCACGGTCCTTTCCCCTCGTCCCTCAAAGTGTGGTCCTGGACCATCCTGCCCACAGGGACCGAAGGCGCCGGCCACGTGCAGGCTCCACAGCCCCAGCCCAGACGCAGCTCAGTTAGGACCCTGTGAGAGGTGGCCTGGGAACCTGCATTTAAACCAGCCTTCTCTCTGAGTGAGGTGGCCTGGGAACCTGCATTTAAACCAGCCTTCTCTCTGAGTGAGGTGGCCTGGGAACCTGCATTTAAACCAGCCTTCTCTCTGAGCGATCCCCATGCTCACGCTTTGTGGCTCAGAACAAGATGCTACTGTGTTTTCCATTTCTTCTTTAATAGGGTTTCAGGACACCAGCATAAACCACCAGCACTATCTCATTCTGGACCCACACAGCCCCGCCCCATTTTACAGAAGAGAAATTAAAAGAGAAAGCGTGTGAAGGACTTCTCAGTAAGCAGGCTGCAGGGAGAACGCAGAAAACCTCCTGACCCCTCCCTTCCCAGTAGGATGACCCCTCAGGGGTCACTGGTACGGTCCCCTCCCACGGAGAGATCCTGAGTCAGACATTTATACCAAGGATCATGTTGGCAGGCCTTTCTGAAGCAGCTGCTGTCCCCTCGAAAGTTAAAATCTCCTCTGAGCAGTCAACTGGACGTCAGAAAACACAAACCAGACTCACTGCCATCAGTTGGTTCCGACTCTTCGCGACCCTGTGGGACAGGGTGGAACTGCCCCTGTGAGTTCCCCGCACTGTAACTTTCTTTTCTTTTGAGACTGTCACTTTTTATGGGAGTAGAAAGCCTCTTCTTCCCCCCCAAGCATGCCTACTATTCAGAACACAAGAAGGAGGAAGGAAGAAAGGAAGGATGTTGGGCAGGAAGGTGCGAAGGGGCTGCAACAGCGCTACACTCCCTCCCGTGGGGTGGGGGTGCCACTGGTCCAGTGGCTGAGAGCACCTGGGGCACTAAGTTGGTTCTCATCAGTAGGTCCTAGTGATCTGAACCCAGCCGGGTGCTTGGCAGGGCAAGAGCCAGGTCTCTGCCCTCCTCCTTCTCACCACAGGGAGCACTCAGACCCCAATCACTCCTAGCTGAGAGCGTCACACATCACATTCCGGCCCCCCACCCCCTCCCAGCTCTCCCCCCAAGTTCTTCCCAGGCAATCCCCTGTAAGAACCAGCAGAGATCCTCAGACATATACTTCCTTCTACAGGAATCAGTAAGGTGGCATCGTGGGTATACACAGGGCTGTGCATTGCAGGGCCGGCGCTTTGAATCCACCAGCAGCTCTGAGGGGGAAAGACGAGGCTTTCTGCTCCCATAAAGAGTCACGGGGCCGGAAGTCCTACCGAGGGCTACTATGGGTCAGAGTCGACTGGGCACAGTAGGACTGACATCCGTAGGAGGCCTGGTGTGTAATGGCTGGGCGCTCAGTGGTTAACCGAAAGGTTTGGTGCAAAGATGAGGGAGTCTGCGTCCATCAAGATCCCATCCCCGGGAACCGTGAGGACGACTACTGTCTTAGAAGGTCTCCATGAGGTGGGATTTACTCCACGGCAGTAGATTCATAGGCCTCACTAAAGACAAAACCATTCATAAAACGAACAAAGTGCCATTGCGTGTGCGCCCCTCAGAAAGCACCCTACACCCCCAAAGAAACCATTCCCCAGGGACAGGGTGGAGGCCAAGGGGGACGTGGGCCGAGCAGCTCCAGCAAACAAAATGGGGAGGAGGCTGGAGCCTTAGACTTTCCAGACTTGGAACTGCAAAGGCCGAGTCTGAAAGGAAAACATGTCGCCTTCCTGCCAAAACAAGCTGTGATGAAAGCTTGGAGCCCAGCACCTTTCAGCCAAGCATTCCCTGGTCAGGCCTCGCCAGCCTGCTCGCACTGGCTCCCAGGCGGGAGAGCTATGTTTAAGGTGCAAACAACCAGGACCCCCCAAAAAGGAGGGAAGTTCTTGATAGTGGTACCTTCCCACTGTTCTCTTCCCCTCTGGAGAGAGTGGCTGGGCTGAGCTTTCTCTGTGACTCTTACATCACTGGGGCAAGAAGGCCTTTGAAGGGTCAGGGCACCTTCAGACGGCCTGCTCCAGACACGGATGAGTTTCCTGTGCAAGGCGGTCAGAAAGGTACCCGAAGCTTCTTTAGGAGTCCCTCCTCGTATACACGACAGCCTCAGATGACACGACCCAGGCACATTTGCAAAGTGTTTCCTACAACACACTTTTGTATTAAAGCAGATTTCAAAATGGAGGCCTGGTTTTGACATTCAAAGGACAATCTCCAAAGTAAAGCTCAACCCCTTCCAGAGAACTGAGGGTCAGGTAAACAGGTTTCTCCCCATTTCCATGGCTTGGTCACTTCAGGCTTTGTACTAGACTCACTGGAGGCGGAGCACATCTCTATTTTGGGCGCCAAGTGTCACAGCCTCTTTCGAGCATCTAACTGCATCTTTCCTCCTGTAGCTCAGGGTCATTTTCTCATTATGCTAAGCCAGTCCATGTGACAGTTCTTGGGTGGTGCAGGAGGAGCCCTGGTCTAGGTAGTGGGTTAAGTGTTAAGCTGCTAACCGCAAGGCTACCGGTTCTACTCCACTCAGTGGTTCTGTGGAATAAAAGCCAGCAATCTGCTCTGCCGAGCGTCCAGCTAGGACACGCCACGACACACAGCTCTACTCTGAAACACTTGGGGATCAACCTGACGGGAATCAGACTCATAGAGACCCGATCAAAAACACTCACCTCACTGCCATCGAGTCGATGCTGCCACACAGTGACCCTATAGGACAAAGGAGAACTGTCCATGTGGGTTTTTGAGACTGTAACTGTTTACAGGAATAGAAAGCCCTTTCTCCCGAGAAGTGACTAGTGGTTTTGAACTGCTGACCCTGTGGCTTACAGTCCAATGCATATTCTCTACACCACCAGGGCAGAGAAAATCTTTCTGAGAGCAGAAAGTCTCTTCTTTCGCCACAGAGCAGATGTTGGGTTTGAATCACTGGCCTTGTCCCTAGCAGGCCAATGTTTAACCCACGATGCTTCCAGGGCTCTGTGGCAACAAGCAGGCCACTGTTAACGCCAAGGCTTGCAGGGACCATTGTAGTCCCTCGGGATTTATCAGTAAATGACAAATCCCTTTGATACTCACAAAAGCATCGTGTCTACACTGGCATGCTTTTCCTCGCAGCACCTAACTCTACTGGCATTGGGTTGCTTGCTGCTGTTGAGTCAGGCGCCCAACTTAACGTGGCCCCCTACGTTATACAGAGTAGAACTGGCTCCTCTGTTTCTGGTGGGCTTTTTGTTGAGCCAGGTCAAGGGGGACATGACTCAGCTCTGGTCCTCCCGCATCACTGTGCTGGCACAAGACACGGGCCCTTGCATCCATTAAGCAAGAAAGAGGGAAGACAGAACACTATGTGCACATGACCCAGGTCTAAGAGCAGATCTACTAGACGAAATCGCTTAACGACCCAGAATGATCCAGCCGACAGAGGAACTTCAGCTGAGACGCAATAGTGCTTGGCATATAGTAGGTCATCTGGAAACTTTGGCTGGCTGCATGAATAGAAAAATGATACAAAAGTGAGACCCCATGCTAGGGTAGGTACTAGAGCAGTTGCAAAGTAGTTGTTTTGGGAGCACACCCATTACTCTAAATAGGATGGGGGGGAAAAGAGTAGACCCCGAACTCAATTAGGCACTTACCTTTTTATTTGAATGGGGACCATTGGTTCCCCCAATGCTCCTCTGCACTGATGGTGGCACTTGGTACACATCTTGTTCCAGAGTACCATGGCCAGTAGGGACTTGGTAAATTCCTTGGTTTTGATAGGAAGGTGGCACTTGGTAGATGGTGTCCCGAGGAGAAGCCTGTGGGTTTGGCACCTGGTAGAGTGTCTGTTGACCAAAAGCCTGGGGTAGCAGTCCAGAGGGAGCCTGGTCGTGCTCAGGAGGGATCTCTTGCACGGGACCAATGAGCAGCTTCACGCGGTTGCCTGGGACGATGCCTTGCCGGCCATGCAAGGAGCAGAGCCACCAGCCTTCCAGTCCTCCTGTGTTCTGCTCGATCACCGTCAGGATGTCTCCTTTGCGAAAGGCCAGCTCCTCCGCACACTCGGGCACGTTGTCATATAAGGCCCTCGCCATGAGATTCTAGGAAGGAAGCAGCAGGCAGGGAAATCCGGTTAGCATGTTAGCACAGGCCCTTTCCCACTTCCAGCCAGTTCTCTTAGGGACAGATACCACTACTTGGGAAGACGAGCAGAAGACCCACACCATCGCCTGGCAGGAGAACCACAGAGGGTGCCGACAAAAGACAGAGCTGCGCAGCCCGCGTCTGCCACCAGTGACGTCAGACTGCCTCCTTGGCAGAAAGCTGCAAACGCTGCGCTCACGGTTGATGCCGCGCCAGGGAATTATGAGCAGGGCTGCTCCCAAGTTAAAGAACGGCTCAGTATGCAAGAATGTTTTTTTTTCTTCTTCCTGTCCTACAGCCAACTTAAGGGGTGAAAAAAAAAATAAATAAAAGGAAAGTTCTTCTAAGCTATTCAGCTGCATTACCACAAACAGTTGCCACAATATCTTTTCCAGATACTGGCGGTAAAAAGAGCGGACCCCCAGGAACTGCTCCTACAAATGACATTTGCATTCAGTGTTGACATGCAAACACAAGCCCACCTATATGTACTTGGAGGGGGCAGGGCTCACAAATGTTCACAGTTATCCCGAGGCAGGGGAATCTACTGGCCAGCCTCTCCCACAAACACCGGGCGTGGCGCAGAGGGTAGCAGTGGTCCACATAAGCAGATTTGATGGTGGGAAGCTACAAAGACTTCTTAACAGATGCTAACTCCTTCTCTTTGGGTCTCTTCCTCCTTACGTTCCTGGGGGCCCACCCTCCCCCGGCCACTTTATCACCTACTTCTTGAATCGCACCATTCACATCTGAAAAGCTGCGCCCTCCCCTTTCATGGGCCCCAACACTCCCCCTCTTTGTGCAAAGGCCTGTCTGGCACATTCAGTACTGAACAGACAGCCCGAGTAGGCATTCAGCAGAGAGTGGGCAGGCAGGACGTGCTGACATTCCTGGCAACCTTTCAAAGGCTCGGAAGATTTCGTTTCTTGGCGTTAGTCAGGCTTCCCAGCATGCTGGCAGCCGCGACCACAGGCCGCCTTCCTCTCCACTACACAGAGACGTTGAGAACGCTGTAAATTCACTGCACGCACATGGAAAACGAAAAGTCATCTCTCCAGTGCTTCACCAAAATGTGTGGATGCACTCCGTGGCGCTGCGGTGAAGGTGGTTTATGGGAGGATGGGTTGTTAATTTGCTGGACTGTGCAGGCGACTTTACTTCCCTGGAGTTTCAGGCTCATTTTATTTGAACTTCTGGTTCCTACTTTCTTCTACAGACTTGATCTTACAGGTTTTTGTTTTTCATGCCTTTATAATGGACATACATTATTTTCCCCAGTACTGTGCTGAATAACCAACAGTCTTATACCTGGGGTGGTTCTCTATGGACTGGCCATGCCGTTGAAGGGGCTCTTCCTCTGGATGGGAGTTGAGAAGGGTCCTACTGGCTAAGTTCCTCTGAGTCACTGCAACTACTGGCCTATGGAAAGGTGATAAAGTCACAAAGGTCAGGACCCAGGAAGCTTGGTGATGCTCGTCAAGAACAAATTTGCAGTCCTTGACATTCTGAGTGCAGGAAGGCTGTGACCTAGGCAGGTGAGCAGCAAGGGATCCTGCTGTTCTCTGGGAAGGCCTTGCTTAGCATTTATAGCCTAGGGAGCTTTGTGGGCCCCTTCCGCAATGAGAGTTCATAGACATAAAGCTAAAGCCATGCACTATCCCACCCCGGCTTGTGGGACCAGGTGAGGATGCGCCATTGTCCTAAAATCTTCCTTCTGTTGGGGGTGTTCCGTTACTAGCAATCTAAAAGAGAAGTCCTAGAGTGAATGAAGTCAAGATTCCGGCCCTTTGCACCAAAATGCTCTCACGGCAAATGCTCAAGCAAGAGCTGAATTATGAGTACCAAGCAGGCGAACCCTGACTGCTCTTGTCTCTGCCCCTTTCTCCTCGGATCCATTCAACCACTGGGAATGCAGGATGAGGAAGACTCTGGATGAAATCAGAAGGAATCGTTCTGGTAGACCTGAGGGCTGAGGGGAAAGAAGAGAAACAGAAGAGTATAGGAAGGCAGTGGAGTAGAGGCCTAATCAGCACAAAGCAGCCACAAAGAGGCCTTGGGAGTGGAGTGGCTTTCGTGTCAGCACTGAAACAGAGCACTGGGTCATGCCTGACGAGGAGCAGATAGAAACTCCCACGCTAGAGTCTCTCGAGATGGCCTTTGTCTCCTGTCCTACTAACCTTCCTACCACCTGGTAAAGCAGCAAGCTAATGTTTCTACATGGTCCCTCAAGAGCTGCTCCTCAGGGGAAACCTTCGGAGCCCCACTGCCAGTACGAATGGAGGCACCAGCAGGGGAGGGCTCCTAATTGGAGGTCCATTATTTCCCAGCAGTCTTCCCCATTGCCTGCAGAGATTGGTATTGAGAAAGAGAGGTTGGCACAGTTGCCAATGGCAGGGGCCCCAGCCCCAGCCTGACACACTGACAAATCCTCTCCGCCTCAGCTGCACAGGAGCGTGGGTGATTTAGCAGATCTGTGTATGTGGCAGAAAGCTAATGTGTTCCCAATCACTCTTCCACACAGACGGACACAGCTCAGAAGACCTGGAGAAATTACCTGACCCAATGTCCCCATTTCATGGTTGAGCAATTGGGTCCACGGAGGTCATTTTTATTATTTGCTCAAGGCCAACCTGCTGGTGGTAGGGACCAACCGGTTAGAACTGTGGTCTCTTGGGTCTTTGTTGAATTTGCTTTCCAGAAGGCTAAGTTGCCTTCGCTCTACTACACAGTGTCCTTCTAACTGGGCAGAGTCCCAGTATTCAAAGGATCTACCAGTGACCACCTTTCCTTTCGTGTCTTTAGAATCTGTAGATTCCTAAGGTTGTGTCTTTGCTGTGTTACTCCCCCCCCCCCCCTGTGCCTCAGCTTGCTCATCTGTAAAACGAGGATGGGGAAAATAATACTTAGGGGTTTGGTGGAGGGCTCGCTCACTGATATTAAGTCGATGACAACTCAGTGACCCCATAGGACAGGGTAGAACTGCCCCTGTGGGTGTTTGAGACGTTAACTCTTTACAGGAGTAAAGCCTCATCTTTCTCCAGTGGAGCTCCTGGTGGTTTGGAACTACTGATCTTGCACTCAGCAGCCTGACTTTTTAAAGAGCACTTTAAACATCAAAGAACCATATCAGTGGGTGCCCACCTTCCTGACACGATCGCTAAAGACAAATGGGTGCATAAGCAAATGTGGTGAAGAAAGCTGATGGTGCCAGGCTATCAAAAGATATAGCGTCTGGGGTCTTAAAGGCTTGAAGATAAACAAG